TGCTTTAGCCTGACAAACGTTTAACGATACTCTCGATTCGCTAGTTTCACACGCACCATGCGTACACTTGATAGTTGTTCCTATAATGCCACATTACAGACCTATACTGGTTGTTTAAGCCCACATAAATATATTTCGAATATACTGCCGCTAATCTGGCTGAGAAAACTCGCGATCTTCCAGAGCCTTCCATGCTCGCGAGCTTCTCTCTCTCTCTCTCTCTCAGCGCGCACAGGTGGTCGATTTGGCTGATAACCCTCGCCTACCCCTCTGGTAACGTGACCTCCCCCGTTAACCAATCAGCATCGAGCTTCGCGGCCACGCTTATTATCAGGCTTCACTAATCAGACCTCACGAAATGCTGCACTGGCCAAAGAACCCTTCGCGTTAAAGGGATACAACCAAGGAATTTAGTGTCCATAATAAGTGGCGCACGTTCTTTCCACGAGCCAGCAGCCGCCGGTGTGCGCGAGCACATGCAACAAATATGACATCACAGACCTCCATTCGTGGTTGAGATGACAGTGAAATGTATGGGCTTCAGACCAAAGGAGAATAAAGACAAGTTTTTCATCTACACAGTGGTGCCTGGTGTAAAAAGTAAGCGATGAATTTGTCTAACAAGCACGTAGCTTTCACTTGTAGAGATGAAAAGCCTGTCTTTATTCTCCTTTAGTCCGAAGCCCATGCATTTCACTCTCATCTCAACCGCGAATGGAGGTCTGTGACGTCATATTTGTTGCGTGTGCTCGCGCACACCGGCAGCTGCTGGCTCGTGGAAAGAACGTGCGCCACTTATTATGGGCACCAAATTCTTTGGTTCAGTATCCCTTTAATATAATTTCGCGGACCGAGTGCCACGCTCGTCGACATGCTAAGAAACGCAATGGCGTGCCGAGTCCCGCGCGTGGCATTATCGCTCCGCAGCCAATCAAATTACGGCTTTAGCCTACATGGGCGCCGGAGGACCAATCACGAACCGAGAAGTGTGAACTATGATAATAGGCACCACCCCCAGCTTCTTAAGCCGTCGGAGACTTTAAGCGTCAACAGTGTAGTAATTGTGTATGCCCATTCTTTTGTTTTCTTGCTATCTTATATTTCCAAGCCGTGAATTTAACGTGCGAAATATACTTATACTACAGGCAACAATATAAAAAAAAAAACGTCCTCGTTTACGATAAGGAAAGCGGGACATTTAAGACAAAAAGACAAGACAGGCTCTCTTGTCTGTTGTATTAAATGTCCCGCTTTCCTTATCGTAAATTAATAACCAACACGCTCAACCATCTACACTTCCTCGTTTTGTTGTGTCTTTCTTTTTTGTCGTACCTAGAAATTTTGGAACGTGTTCCAAAATTTGTAGGTATACGCCCGACGAGGGCTAGAACGGCAAGTTTAGATCCCAAACTACACGCTGTTTAACAGGTCGAGGTTTAACGGTGGTCCTGGGGGAGCCGCGAAACTGTAAAGAAGAAAGATGACCTGAATTCCCTTTCACGTTGTAGCCGATTGTACTCTAAGCCTCCGGTTTCATTAATGATTCCCAGCCAGCAGTATAATAATAGGCACCATGTTGTTATGCCAGTATAGCCAATATCACTTAATTCAGAAGGCGTTTTGAGTGCTTCATGATGTCGCCTGCCAGACGGTCTATGTAACAGCTTTAAAAGCAAATAAGCGGTCTGTCACTCGTTGCTTTTCCTTGAATGCAGCATCCCCCTAGGGCTTAGGGCCAGTGCCGGCGGTGACCCGTTACAAGCAACGGCGTTACCCGCTACGCGTGACTGTTTCTTGTAACGTAGCAACGTACCAGTTACATTTTCAAAAGAGTAACGGGTAACGTACTTACGTTACTTATTTCAAGTAACGGGCAACGTAGTTACGTTACTCGCTACATCGTTTTCCCAACACCCGAAAAAAGTACGCTTTTACAATCTTGTTCGTGTTTTTTTTTTTTTTCTTTTTTCGTTTCACCCGATTTCTGCATGAAAAGGACGCCGTGGGGGGGGGGGGGGGGAGGAGGGGGGGGGGGCAAAAAAAAGCCCATTGAGATGCGCTTTTAACTATGCTTGTTTAGTCTCATTAGGTCCGTCTGAACTTAAAAGTAAAACGAAATATAATGCGGCATTTTTTTCTAGGTCGCCCCCGCGATAGAGCACTCTCTTGTTTTTCATATTTTCGAGGCCCCAAGTCATTAATTATCTTGCTCTTTCCACGTGCCTTCAAAACTTTGCCGATCTTTTCCCTGCACAAAAAAAAAAATCCAACTTTAGAAAAAAAAAAAAAGAAACGCCAACGCCCATTGTTCCGGTGTCGAAAAACGCCGTGAAAAAAAACAAAAACAGCGCTGTTACCGTCCATTTATAAATAACAGCAACGCAAAAGTAAATTGCGTTACTTTTCATCTATGATGGTAACGCGTTCCTTTTATTTTAAGGTAATGTAGGAGGTCGGTAACGCGTTTCTTTATTTTTCGAGAAACGAGTAACGTATTTCGTTACTTTTTTGGGGGGTAACGCCTACAACACTGGCTTAGGACTCGGAATAAGCAGTCTCGTGCGCGCTCTCTCTTTCCAATAAAAAGCTGGCGCATTTAGCATTACGGGCCCTCAGGCTCGTATGGGCATGACAACGCACATTCGTGAATCGTCTGCGCAGGAAAACCCCTGTTTTCGATGCGCACAGCCCCACGCAACGATCGATTGCGCATACACTTGAAGAAATGTCTGCGCGTCCACTTACCCGCAAAACACTCAAAGAGCCAATCTGTGTGATATAGGAAATCAGCTCAGCGAATGATGAGGCGGAACATCCGTTTAGACTTAAAAATTAAGTCTGCGCTGTGGCATTACGCAATGCAAAGCGTCATGCTTGCATTGCGTAATGCCACAGCGCAGACTTCATTTTGAGGTCTAAACAGATGTTCCGACTCATCACCCACTCAGCTGATTTCGTAGATCGCAGAGATTGGCTTTTCGAGTGTTCTGTGGATAAGTAGACGCGCAGGCATTTCCTAGAGTGTATTTGAAACCGAAGACGACGGAAGAAAAAAAAAAAGGATAACACAGGACACATTGACAATATTTGGTGGTTTTCTTTTTTGGTCTTTTGTAGTCTCCTGTTTCTGATCTGTGGGACTTAAATCGGCTCGTCTGTTCGTTCACTTGAACCGAACATATCGGTAATAAGGATCTCGAAACGACATTGGAGTATCTATAACCGATTTCACAGAACAACTGGGCATGGTGTCGGGATTACGACAATACTGAAAGGGTTTTTATATTTTTTTTTTAAGGCCAACATTACGCGCATTTATGTTGTATATTGCAGTCTCGAATCATTTCAGTTCCTCCTCATCCTCCCCCGGCCCATTATTCGCGCTCATTTTTGTTCGGCTGCTCCTTTCGAAGCATTGCTTCATCGAACACAATGAAGCTACTTTTTACTGTTCATGCATCTCCCCTAATCTTTCTGGGAAATAAAGCTTTGTTTCGATTTCATTTTAACATCCTATGTGAAAGAGTCACGGGGTCCCAGCCCTCAGAAGCAAGTGGAGACTTTTAAAAGAAAAGCAGGCGATGAAGCTGTTCAAAAGGAAGCTTTAGATAATTAGGATATGCTAACGGGAGATTGGACTGAAGGTCAAACATGAGGGTGGTAGTTGTGGCTGCATCGACTCCCAACATAAGCCCTATGATTAGCTTCGTAACTGCTTAGCGTCAACAGAGAATTGAGTCAGAGTTCAACTTCTTCAGTCGTTGAGTGCACTTCTAACCTTTGTCATTGTGGTACGCACCTCAATTCAAAAACCTAGAAAGAAAATTAAGTTAATTACGTAAGAATTTTTTTTCGGTTAACTTAAGTTATAGTGTTCAAAAAAAAAACCTTGGGCGTGTTGGTAAGCCATGATGATTAAAACGTACAACTCAAACTGAGAGGACACACGAGAGACCACACAATCGCTGATTATATGCCTCCTCTCTCCTGTTCCGTATCTTTGCGCTCTAGGTGTTAATTATCATAATTTAACTCGCTCAAAATGTGTCTGGGTAATTGTCCCCCTTTTCTGTCTATTCATTCCTGCACCGCTAAAATTATGAAGGAAGTACAATATTACAAGTGGACACTGATGTATTAATCAAACCCTCATGTGCAGTTTTGCTGTTATTTTCAAAAGCTTATGGCTGCTGGCCAACTCTCCTACCTCCTACTGCTCCGTCTTTTCAGGGCTTCGCCAATCATCCTCCTTTCCCACCTTTTCTTAGTTGATTTTGAAAGCGTTTAACGGCTGGCCAACCACGTTACCATCTTTTCATAGCCTCGCCTCTACCTCCTTCTAAGCATTTGAGTTGCTTTCGAAAGCTGTTGGCAGCTGGCCAACTATGTAACATACTACAGTGCCGTCTTTTTCAAAGCCTCGCCTCGACCTCCTCTTATGCCTCTTGCCATAGCCCCCTGTATACTGACAAAGCCTGGCAGATCGCCACAAAAAGGGGCCGCCGAATTGGAAAAGGTGGAGCGGCAGACAACGGATGAGAGGAGAGCCACGTGACTGACGCCCCGCTGCGGCGAGACGCCGACACACACCACTCCTGAGCGAGCAAGTGTGTTTTGGGTCCTCGCCGCTGCAACAGCTGTGCGCTGACATCCAGGTTCAACGAGAAATGGCTCTTTGATGCTCTGTGCTACCAGATCCTCGCGCTCCAAGTCTGCGATCGGTCACTCTATGGCTCCGTCGTGAAACTGCCAGGCTTTCTGAGTATAGAGGAGGCTATGCTCTGAGTTGTTACTTCCGAAAGCTGCTGGCAGCTGGCTAACTCTACTACATTCTACCGTGCCACTGTACGCTTTGCTTCCCACGGCGGCAAAACCTGAGTTAACTTCGGCTATAATGGGAATGCGCGTTAAAATAAGTTGAAGAATTCAACGCGCACGGCCATTCTCGGCTGCTTTGCTTTCGTCTCCGTTTCCCCGAACAAAATTGTGCCGGCGCGCAGGTGACGCTAGTGGTGTCCGACCGGGCGGACAACCGACTCATCTCGGAAGTGCTTTCGGGGCTGGCCCGCGAGCACAACGTCACCGTTCAGCACACCTACTACGTGCCGGACAACTACAGGGACGACGTGAACGGCACCGTCAAGAAGATCGTGCACGACTCGCACGCCTCAACACGGGGTGAGTGCATAGTAAAGCCAGCAAGCCCTAAGAAGCCTGTAGTGTTGGAATTTTGACGTCACCAACAGGAGGCCAGCGCGGGGCAAAGCATTGGACACGACTGGTGAGTCAATTTTCCAGTGAGACTACTGTGTTCGTTGACGGAACACGAGTCTTTGTGTTCTGCTCTACCGCTGACCTTCTGTCCAATCTGTGTTTCGTTCTGGCCCCCAGTAGGTGACGTAACAAATACGGCACCATGGCCTTATAATCTAGAAAATGTGATTCGTCAGAGAATGGGCAAGGTATGGCCTTTTTTTTTAGGAAAAAAAAGTTTCGATGAACAGCGATGCACCGGCAAGCAAAGCACGAAACCGGTTAGAGCGGCAATACATTATTGACTTTATAGCTGCGTGAACAAGCTGTTTTAGCAAAATATACGACATTAATTTGAGCCTTCCAAGTGGTACCTTTTTCAGTTATTCCTACCGGATATTGTTGCTTTCGTGATTTTATACAGCTGCTGAGTGACAAGCAAAGACGACGATGACGTTTTTAGAATAAAGAGTGCACGTCATGTTCGCATATTTTCGCTTGTATTTTGAGTTGAACGTATTCGGACGTCAACGCATCAAAACCAATAATAACATGTTCGCTTCGAAACGATTATTTTAGCAGTGCATAGAAGCTGATAGTCGACACATCAAATTCCTTTGAAACACTTGATAGACACAGTCTAAGTCATACTAGTTCACTCAGTTATAATAACGTACTTAATTTAAAGAAAAAGCGGAAAGCCAGAATTAAATTAGGAAAAAAAAAACATTATTCACGTGGCACGCGATTTGAGGGAAATATTTTGTTTCGAGAAGCCCTCATGGTTATTATAATACTTACCGCGCAAAAGAAATTGTACAAATAGTTCTGAGTGCATATTAGAAAGGTAAAACTCAAAACTCGGACATTTAAATACATATTCTACATCGCGGCCATAGAACCTTAGCCTGTGTGCAACAACGTGCTGGCAACCTTTGAATTTCTCTCACCGATAGTTTGCCGTATAGTGCCTGGCCCGCACGTTGCTTGTGGTGTCTCTCGTTCCGTCTTACGAAGACCGTTCTCTTCCTAACCCGACTTGTTCCAGTGTACGTGATGCTGGCTGAGACCGGGGTGCTCGTGGACTTCGTGCGCTTCATGCACGACGAGCACCTGCTAGAGGGCGGCGAATACGTGGTCATCTCCGTCGAGGAAGAAGACATCTACGACAAGTCCAACAAGTATCAGTACATGAAGAAAGGTAGGCGAGTCACTGGCGAGGATTATGTAAAAAGCCTAGAGAGGTACCAATCGAAGCCATGGAGAATGTTGGCAATTTAATCGCGGACAAGCCACTTGCGCCGATCGGTCGCGAGTGCGCATGCGTGGTGTTTCGTACGGCGCGAGGAGGAAAGCGTTTGCAGACGACCAACGCGTTCGTAGGTCCTCGTTAGCTCGTATTGCAAAGGCGGCCCACGAACTGTGATGCCGATCAAACAGTTGGAAATGCTCCGAGATCTAAGCACACGATAGAACGGGTGCCTGGTGAACGGGATGCCAGTTTGTCGCTCTACGCCCCTCTACGTCATTTAAATAACGTCACGAGGTATTTACTCTTGTCTTTCTGACGTGGTACCCGACTCGCATAAATCGAACACCAAGTCAGCGTTCGGGTAAAGCTCGCGTTCGATAGACCTTTCTTTTTTGTTTCAAAAGTGTGCGCCATTGAGCAAATGCTGCCCCGAAATATCCGATTTCACCATCGTTTGAACAGATATACTGAGTCTGAGGGTGTTATTGGGCACGAGGGATCCGTCACAGTTCGGCGTGAACTCGGCTCAGCTCTTATTGGATACGAGTGTGACGTCAGCATTCGGCGAGGACTCGGATCCAATCCCACGCTTCGTGTCCGAGCAATGACGACCGCCTGTGTTTTTGATGGCGTTTTTCAAAAGGGCCCATCAGTGCAGCGCCAACTGATCGTAAGTCGAAGTCAAACGATGACTCATATTCGTGTTCAATGTGTGCCCAATGCGCTCGATGGAGGAAGATGGCGTAAAGGACACAATCCGAAGTCATATCCACAGGATAAACACCCAACTCGGTGGAAAACAAGCTGAACAAAGCACCGCCCCAAGTTTGATCTCCTCGCAGATACTGATCAAGTTTCGGTTCAACCTTTAAATTTTCATACGTCTAGCCGAAAACAAGAAAGCCTAAAAAAGTCCATAGTGTCTCTCACTCAACGTACACTATTGTCGCTATTTTCGTCAATAATCTAAAAAAAATATATTGCATTTGCTTCGACGGTAAACTTCGACCAACCATTGTTATTCGTACTTCCCGAGAATGAAGCTGTCTGTGGTTAAATTTAAGTAGACGCGGATCGAGGTAATTATAACAATATTAGGTGTAATTTGCATAGACCTGCGACGGTCGCCAGCGAAACTAATAAATAGCACTAGTATAAGATATAGTCCTGGAATTCCAAGGTCTTTGTCGCTAGACATACAAATAAATTGTCTTCCATGCAAAGTCGGCTACAAAGAAAGCAGTAAAACCGCCCCATTTTTAATTTCTTGTCGTGATTGGTGGATCATTGCGCTACTGTCACATAAACGCAGCCAAAGACGACAAGCGCCACTGTGATGGTCTTTTGGCACTGCTTGATGGCCTGCATCTGAGCGTAGTGTTGGAGTATAAATAACGGGTAAGCGAGAAGCAATATGCAGTCGTCTTAACGTTCGTTTTAAGTGAGCATAAAAAAAGATCCAACTGTTACGACTTACTCTGAACAAGTCTCCTCGCCTTGAACCGACACCGTATTTCAGCGATGTAACTTATTCAAGTTGCAGGATGTGGCAATCCGAACCACTGGGGCGTAGTCCTTGGGATATTTTAAAGCCTAACGCTCTCTGACGTACGCGAGACGCAAACTCCCGGCCCCCTGACGCGTGAAATGAAACCACCTCTAAAGCAGTTCAAACACACACAAATACTGATTTTAAAATTAATCGGCTCGGAAGGAAAAACGACGCATCACGCTTCCACCAAGAGGCTGTGTACGGTGTGAAGAAGCGAGTTGAACAAAACAAGGCGAAAACTTTTGTATCTTGGGTAATGCGTCAACTTTTCCCGCGGGTGTATCACCGGAAAAAAATGACGCACCTTGTATATTGTGTGTGGATTGGTCGGGCACGAAGTAGACGCGTTCAAGCGTGTTGCGTATACTCAAAAAACTTGGGAGACGGAGAAGTGCACAAACGCAAACATATACAGGTACCCATTTAGCTGGTCTTAAACCTTGAGCCCGATCACAGCCGACGCCAGGAGGCGTTGGGACCACTCAAACCACGTCAAAAGCGCAACGTCATGGTGTTCGCCCCCCTGTCTCTCTCTCTCTCTCTCTACGAGTTTTATAATCCTCTGTACCAGTGCTTCTCCTTTGGGGGTCCGCGAAGGCCTTCTTGGGGTCCCTAAAGTCGCAGACTGTGAGTTGCGCCAAGCACTAAACCTTTTCTCTTCTTAATGCTGGCTGTCCCGCTAAGCTAGATAGACCAAACCACGCGCAATCAGTGCATTTGTACGCAAGTAGTATCCTTCACTTACCCTCCAGTCATTGTAACCGTCCCATGCCCTCCTCTCCCTCCTGGTGGATGGGGTCCCCCGTCACTCCTGTGGATCGAAAGGGTTCACCGAAATATCGGTCGCTGAGAACCAGTGCAGCCTAAACAAATCAAGCACTATAAACGGCCTAATTTTTGCGGGCTCAAATTTTCGCGAATCGGGCCAAAGCTCAAAGTTTGAAGTTATTCGCGGGTTCTAATTTTCGCGAATCGAGTGTAGCTTCCATAGCGTTCGCATATTGCCCGATTTGTTCACGGGATGTATATTTTTCGAATTGTAGGCGATTCGTGAAATTCGCGAAAATTAGGTCCTCACGAAAATTTAGTCGTTTACAGTATATAGTAAGTCTCCGTTGACTTCGGGGTTCAGCACTTGTGTCAGTGTTGAATAGTGTTTTTTGTGTGTGTTTTTAACAGTTTTTTTTAATTTACTTTCGTACACGTGAACACAGGAAGCCGCGGCAAGACAAAGGGTTGGTGCAAAACGCGTGACGCTTAGACAGAGTTTTTTTGTTTTTTTTCCGACTGCTGCGGTTTTAGACGCGTCAAACACAAGGCTAGAGCCGAAAGTTCGCGGAGCTCTTTGATTGGCAGTCGGCGACGAAATAATGGTGTCATCGTCGCCACGGTCGAATCGGCGCGGTCCGTAAACTCCAGTGTTGTGTTTAACGAGTCTGGAGTCCTCCCCGGTCTGAAAGGCGTCGTTACTTTCTCCAAGAACACCCCATTTGCGGTAGGAGTGGAGATAAAAGGACGATTCTGAGGTCTTCGCGTGCACTTGGTATTCAGTAGATGCACTGCCTCGGGAAACGCTGCCAAACGATTGAGTGCGTGGACGGGGAGTGCAAAATTCGTATGAACCGTACGTGGAATGCCCTTCCGCTCTCTACTCCTTTGTGTTCAAAGTCAAATTTATGTGGATTTAAGTTGTCTTCTTTTCAGCTGGATTTTTTCGTCGGTTGCCGAAAGTAACAACTCTGCTTAAGAAGTCGCGGTTCTTTGTCACTCTCCTGCTAGGGGATTGCAGTGTAATGAAAGTATAATGAGGCTGGTGGAGGTGAGCTAAATTTAGACTCGAAACTTTCGTTGTTGTGAAATTCACCCACACATTCGTCTGTGTTCTAGATTTACGAACTGTCGCCGCGCATTATGAAACGCAATGATCACGCCAGCGCGGGGGCCTTACCGCCCGGTGCGGTACACGTAATCACTCGGTGTTCGAGCTACGGGATTTCTTTAGTCCAATCACGCACAGTGAATGCGACGTGATCCTCCGCTTTTTTTTGTTCTTTTTTTTTTAGTACGCGATTGTTTTACTGGGTGACTGCAAAAGCGCAAATACGATGAGCGCCATGAAGTTTCCATTGCGCCTATAATTCGTTTTACCCTCAGGGCTGGGGGAACCAATCAGACAAAAAGTGTACCGTCATGGTGTGTGTCATGTTTCGGTAAGTGTTCTAGCATCGGTGAACCAAACGTAAACAGAAAAAAAAAGGTCTACTGTCTTGCGCTTTTGACTCTACTTCATTGTTCCCATTAGCTCCTTGCGTCGTCTGCGCCAGTACTCAAGCTGAAACGAGGTATATACACCAACACAGAGTTTACAAAAACAAGCCCGCTTTGCCCACACCAGGTGTGGGCACTGCGCATGCGCAGAAACCGAATTTGGGAGGAGAGAAGCTTTTGCGCATGCGCAGTACCGACAGCAGCGCCGCCGCAGGAGCGTGACGTTATGCAGTGAGTTCAGTTGTGGTTTATAGATGCTTCCGAGGCAAAGCTTCGGAAGTTCGCATCCCGCGTTCGAGGTTCACCCCGCAATCTGGCGGTTGATATTATATTTGCGGCGAAGACGCCCTGTAATCGTAATTTCAGTTGCACGACGAAAGATCAGTCCCCGTGGTAGTCGAGATTAAATCTTCGGTACTTCGCCGGGGCGCGCCAGATCTGCCCCTTGTTGTTTTGGCGCGGAAAAACTCGAAATTTGGCTTGGTACCGCCGTACGTCAGAACGCTATCGAAAGGTTCGAGGGCGTGCGAACTTCACTGCGTTTGATTGGTTTAACCGACGGTAGCTCACGCGGAGAAAGATGACAAATGCGCTACAAAGTTACGCGTTTGGCACTGCCTGATCGGTCCAGTCGGCACGTAGTGTCAGTTGAGCTCTGCCCTAAGGTGAAACGGAGTATATATATACACCCGTACAATGCATACTTTATTTTTCCGTGCCCCAGAACGACCAAGGTTCCTATGTGAAACACACGTCCGCACAATGTGAACAATACATACATAAAAAAATAACGATTATAAGGTGAAAAGCGAGGTTTCTAGTTAACGTTCAAAAGACGCATGGTATGTAAAAGCACCCAAAGAAGTATTTGATGATATGGGTATCAAAAGACAGTTGAATACGTGAGATCTGACAAAGTTTCTCCCTAGGGCCAGGATCAAACAGACTGGTGTGTCTGCTGGAACATAGAGGCAGGTGAAAGTTAAGAACAACGCCGCAAGCTGCTGTCTACCTGGCCGTGAATTATTCTTTGTAACAGTAGTGAGGCAAGCCCAACTCCTCGACTTGATAGCATTTGTAAGCCGAGAGTTTCGACTATGTACGTGTAGTCATAAAAACACGCTTACAC